TATATGTTTCTCTTATTGGTTGATGAATAAAGCTGTTTCAGCCAATGGGTAGGCAGAATTTAGCCAGGTGGGAAATCCAAACAGGGATAAAGGTAGGAGGTAGAGTCAGGGAGGTGCCATGTAGCTTCTGAGAAAGCAAGAGGATCGGGTATCACCGGTCTCCCAAGACCATGTGGAAATACGTAGATTAATAGAAATGGGTTAATAATTAAGAGAGAGAGAGCTGGCCAATAAGAAGCCTAAGCCATCGGCCAAGCCGTTTACAATTAATATAAGCCTCTGTGTGTTTATTTGGGACTAAACAGCTGCAGGACCAGGTGGGACAGAAACTTCCATCCACATCCATTCCATCTTTGAGCACCTTGCCTACATCTGAAGTCTCGGGTTGCCAGCTCTGACAACCCGATAGATGTGCCAGACACATCTGAGGTCACTGGTACCTGGGATGGGGACTCTACCTTGAGTTACCTCTGAGAAAACATCACACAAACAGCTCAGGACTGATCCTTGCTGGGGCCAGTAGTAGGGAACAGGTACTTCTGGCAGTGCTTTCACAGACAAGGGCATCAAGGCACAGAGAGGCAAGGTCACTTGTCCAGGGTCACACAGCAGGAAGAACTAAGATTCAAACTCAGACAGTCTGCTCTCCAGCCTCTATCAGGGTCCTATGAGTGACAACCACCCTTACTTGTATGCCAACAAGACCAAGGAGGAAGAGATGTCTACCTCTGTCTACCACTGTAAGCCAAGGCTTCTCACCTTTCCTGATCACAACAGTTAGAGACAGGTCCTCCTACATCCAGGCCTGAGTCTCTGGGGAAATGGAGTAGTGACAACGTGAGACCAGTGAGACCAGAAAGGCTGCTAAGAATGTGGTCTCTCCAGAGCAGATGTGGGGAAGATGAAACCAGCCTAGCCACAGCCAGTAGGAAAACACTGCCCTCCCACTCACACTCACACACACTCTCACACTCACACACACACACTCACACTCACAGACACTTACACACACTCACACACGCTCACACTCACTCACACACATAAACACACACTCACACACTCACATTCACACGCTCACACACGCTCACACACACTCACACACTCACACACACTCACACTCACACACACACACACTCACACACACTCACACTCACACACACACACACTCTATCCTACCTTGATGCCAGGTCACCCATGCACCTTCCAGCCCTGCCCACATCAGCTTACTAACTGTGGCTCTGAAAGAATGTTTAATTATTCCAGGAAATCCCTTTGGTTGGTTGCAATAGAGAAAGTTCTTAGAGATAAGCCAGCTCCTAGGAAAGATACATCTCACCAATCAGATAGCTCATCTGCATATGCAGATTTCCTGGCTTTTGTTTCTTCTTCCCTATGAATTTTAACACTGCAGCAGGTAAGGCCACATCTATAAATGGATCTATTCCCTTTGATCTGTTCCTGCCTCCTGGTTTTGATTGTTTAGTAAACCATGGGCTGGACCTGAGACACTGGGCACCACTTTGCCTATTGGTCCCTCTATCTGCCAATGAGCTCTGACAAGGGAAGTGGTTGGCACAGGGAGGAATGGAGAGATAACAACATGTCCAAACCTGGACTGTACTGGGCCTGCTGTGAGCCCTGGACTGAATACCCCCAGGCCACACCCACACCTCTGACCAGTGTGCCTCTAGGGTGCTGGCTTCTGAACCTGCAATCACCTCAGCCCTGTCAGACCAGCTAGCCCAGATTTAACCAGGCCTAAGCCATGTCCCTCCTGGCTCAGCAGGAAATTCAGGCTTCCAGCTAGGGTAGAGCCAGGAGCACAGTCAGGAAAGTGATGGATATAAGAGCTGGGTAGCCATGCACACAGCTGCCCCTTCAGGGTACAATGCCCATCCTTATCCTTCCTCCTGCCCACTCCTGAATCTAAGATCACAAGGGTGGCCACTGCAGGAAGTTTGCCTGGGAAATAACAGACAAGCCACAGAACAAGCCCCTCTGCAATTATCCCTCCTCCCTCCCCATCTCCTTCAGCAATCCAGCCTTGTCTCCTCCAGCTCCCTAATGCCAGGGGCCTTCCCTGGTGCTCTGAGAATAGCGGATGGATGGCACCCGAGAGGCTGAGTTTTAGGCAGAGCAGAAGCCATCCTATAGCAGGCCAAGTAGTCTGCACTACTTCCCAAAATGAGAGGAGTCCCTGGGCAGGCGGGGACACCAGGCTGCCTCAAGGAATGCTAGGGTTTGCAAAACTGACAAATGTCCATCGGGCTCCTACTGACACCCATGCATGCTATCCAGAACCCCCAAAATAATGTTCAGACATAGGGAAGGCAGAGGGCTGGGTGGAGGCTAGACAGCTGTAGCCCCCAGCCCGAGAACTAGAAGTGATTTCTGCCTACATCCCTGGCTCCCTGGAGCACCCCTCCCCCTCCTTTATCAAGCAGCAAGGAAGATGGCAGATGTTCCCTGGGTGGAAAAGAACACAACAGAGGCCTGGGAAGAGCAGTAAGAATGATGCCAAAGAGGGCTGGCCTGGTACCCCCTGCAGAGTGAGTGACAGGGTACCAGGCCAGCTCTGGTTCCCTACCATGGAGCTGGCGAGAAGGATGAGGGCAGCTTGTTGCAGCCTCCCTGTGTCTGACAACTCCAGCACTTCAACTTCCAGAAACCATACTCAGCAAGAATTACTCTCCCCACTTACAGATGAGCGGCCATGGCTCCGAGAAGGGGCACTTTGCCTAAGGCCATACCTCACTTCAAGAAGCCACCTCAGGTTGGATCCTGGCCTGCTTAAAAACTGGGCTCTTCATAATATTTGGGGAGAAAAGAAGCCGTTGAGGAAGGGAGGCTGAATGACAGGTGGGGAGCTGGGACAGGAAGGCTGAACTCAGAGGCTAGGAAGCATGAAGGCTAAGGGCCTGAAGGCCTGGGAAGCTGTGAAGCTACAGGGCTAGGGAGCCAGGGCTACCCAGAGGGGAGACTGAGAGGCAGGGAAGTCTTGGAGGCAGGGAGGAGGGAGGCAGGAAGGTTGGAGGGACAGAAAGGCTGAGTACCTGGGGCCTGGGAGGCTGGGAAGCTGCAGGCAGGAAGGATGAGGAACACTGAGTGGCTCGGGCCTTCCAGGCTGTCTAAAGAGAATCTCTGCGAACAGACAAGTCACCATAATGCCAACCAAGACATAGGTTTCTAAACGTGAAATCAGAATGTGCTGTAGGGAAAATGACCATTTGCTCTGTTTGCAGTCCATCAGCCCTAGGACCTAGAAAATAGAACTGCTCAGAAGCGCAGCTGCCTCAGGCCGGAGGCCAAGCATTAGTGGTCAGGAGCTGGACAACCCAGCCCTGACCCAGGCTGCTCTACTTCCACCCACTGTGGACCTTGCCCTCCCTGCAGAGTTAAGCCCTCTAGGGCTCCGTCACATCACGCTCAGGGAAACACACTCTGCCTAGTGGGCTCAGGCCTGACCAAGACTGAAGCCCCAATACTGTCCTGTAGGCCCTGCTCTGATGTCTCCAACAATGCAAACCACATGTGCTGTGACCCTGCCAAGGTAGGCAATTCACCCATCGTCTTCAGCTAGGGCTAGAAAGGCAGCTGGACAGGTGCCAAGCAAGGAGGAGGAGGAGGGCCTCCCGAACACAGGGGAAAGGGCTCTGAGAGGGCAGTGACTCCATTGGGTCACACAGCTGTGGACACCCCCGTCACCAGCACGCACACGCACACAGTCACCAGCACGCCCAGCCACCAGCCTGCTCTACATAGCCTTTGGCTTCATGAAGCCCACTCCAGACTGTGACTCACAGTCTTAGGAAGAACATCAGGGCAAGAACCGTGTGCATTGTGGGGGGGGGGTGACAGGTAGGGGCTCAAGCGTCCCCCCCTTCCTCCTGGGAACCAGGATCTCACAAAGGCCCTTTAGAGCCAGCTCCTACCCAATGCCTAGCTGAAGTATACAATAGGCATGGCCCAGTAGAGCCAAAATCCTGTTACTAGGTCAGAGAAGGAAGCCAGGACCAGACGCTCCCCCAAACTCCAAGATCTGAGGCCAAAGAACCCAGGGCCTTCTTGCTGGTGTCAGGGAGGGGCCTGGGCAGGGCTCCTGGATGTGTGGTCCCTTCTCCTCTCCGCCTGTTTCCTTCCCTGACACAGTCCCAGTTCACAGCAACGCCCAAGGCTGGCTGTTGGAAAGCACATGAATATGGAATTCATTTTTCTCCAAACGTCCAAGATCCAGAGAGACAGACAGTACAACTCTGACTGCTGAAAACCAGGGTACGCATGGCTCCACTGCCCTCAGAGCTAACATGCCAGGCGCGGGGTGGGGGCTTCCCTCGTGTGCCCTGGGTCCCACCTGTTTTGTCATTGCCAGAGGGAGCTTGATACCCCAGCCTGATAGTCTCTATGTGACTGCTTGCTTCCCTGCCCTGCAGCCGGCGGTGCCTTCTCTGAGAACAGGGCACGGGGGGGGGGGGGCTGTGAGACCTGCCCAAGTGACCTGGAGGAGTCTGGTTTCCCACACAAAAGACCCTTGTCAGTGACTGTCTGTCACCAGCATAGTGGTGAAGCCTGGAATGGGTCTGGGCCAGTGTCCTCCAGCACCACCCTCCTTCACTGAGACCCCAGGAACCCACCCCGCAGAACTTCTATGCCCATCTCACACACAGGACTCGGAACCAAAAGTCATGGCACAGGGGCCAACACTCAGGGTACAGGCCCTACACTGGCCACCTGCTGTCCATCCTTACAGCTTGATGAGAGTACGTGCTTCTACTTGTACAGGAAGTGACTTTTAAAATCAGCAAACCTGCCCCTAATCTAATTGCACACAGGGTCCATTCGCAACATTTCACACACACACCCCCACATGACCGTGGGAGGGAAGGCTGAGGCCGGCAGTACTTGGTCCCTGAGTACACCATGCCTTAGAGAGCCTGGCTACGCAGGTGGCTGCCTATGGGATCGGAGCCCATTCTCCCCAGGGAGGAGGGCCAGACACTAACCTTGGGCCTCTTCCACCTGACGGTGGGTCCTGGGGTACCCTTATAGTAGAGCGAGTCGTCAGTGGCAGGAAAGTGAGGGTCCTCAAAGAGCACCTTCCTGCGCAGACAAGCCCGCTTCAGCGCTGAGTAGCTCTGGTCCTCATAGGACTTCACGCAGGAGAATGTGGAGATCATGTCCCCAAGAAGGGGAGGCGCCTAGAAGAGAGGAAGGCATAAAGACTGTCAATCATGGGCACCTTAAGATTCTGCTGAGCTCAGACCACCGGATATACTTCCCTCCCAGAAACATTCCAACAACACAGGCAAGAAAAAGAGGGACAGAGAGGGGCAGGGGTCTGCCTAAGGTCACACAGCAAGTACCTGCCACAGGGCAAAGATGACAGGAGCGAACCACCTGCCCCAGCTACTGAGATTATCTCCTTTCTGGTGTCTGAAAGGTGATACCGGGCACTCAGGCCACCAGTGCCTTGTGTCCAGGGCTGGCCCAGGCCACACCCTCCTCACACTCCCAGTCTTGTTTAGCCAACCCTCCCTAGGGCTTTGGGACTGAATCATGTAAGTGGCCACCCCCCAGCAGCTTGTGGCCAGTGTCATGTCCACAAGTCTCAGCTATGGGTGTCTCAGAGGTCTCTCCCTGACTCATTCCTGCCCAGGTTGCTCCTAGCTGTCACTCAGTCTCCACCCCAACCCTCTGCCTTTTATGTGCACCTTACACTTAGGAGGGAGCAGGCTCCTGGCCCCCGGGGCTCTATTCACTCCTCAGGAAGCAGGAGACCATCCCATATACCCTGTATTTTGTACACTGACCAAGTTCAAGGGGCACACCCTGTTCCAATATGGTCAGGGGAGGCCCCGGAGGGAGAGCAGGGGTTGTTGAGGAGACAAAGCCAGTGGGGGCTTGGCCCATCGGGAGTGTTGACAGGGGTCTGGTCTGTCACACTTCGTCTTCATCCTCCAAATCTACTCATCCTGGGGCGCACTGGGAGCAACATTGTGGTCTTATTGAGGTTCAGGCTGACCATGTGGGAAACTGAGTGGTTTCTGGGCAAAGTTTGGTAGCAGGACTGACTGTGGCTGAACCACTCATCTGCTGGGTGACAGTGGAAAAGTCATTCAGCCTCTCTGAGCCCTTTTCATTCATCTCCAAGATGGGAACAAGGTTGCTTCAGTAAGAGAATGATGCCATTATGACTGGCCGGGGGCAGAGGGTGGAGGAAGGACAGCAAAGGGGTCAAGTCTCCTCTCATTCCAAAGAGACAAAGGGTTCTCTGGAACCCATCATGTGCAAGCCACTGAATAAAAGGTTTATTGTGTCCACTGTTGAGAGCAAGGCCAGAATGAGGGCCGAGGCTCTTTGAGGGAAGGCACTTCACCCGTGTCCCGGTAAAGGCAGTGGACTGAAACCCAGGTTGTCAGGTGGAGGTGGCTGGCCTACCTCGGCCTCGGGAAAAATGGCTAGACTATGGCAGGCAAGCTCCCACACAACTCTCAACTGAGCTGCAGCCAAAGGAAGGGAAGAGGAGGATTCTTCAGGGAAAGGAAGAAACGGGAAGGAAAAGACAACAGGCAGACAGGCAATGCCTTGTTCTGTAGCTGCAGCCACTGCACCCATTCAGGGTTGCTGTATTGCCCCAAGCCAACCATTTAACTTGCCCGGCCTCTCCCCACCCAGGGAGGTCTATCTCCTTGGGCCCTAAGGCCACCCTGAACCTCGGAGCCCCAGGAAAAGGGACAGGGGAGACTGGAAAACTTCAGGGTCCTTAGTCACTACTAAGTAGGCTCTTTAGCCCTGCAGGCTTTAGCAGCCAGGGCTCAGGAAGCAATTTAAGCCAAATTAGATCGTGGAGCCGAGAAATCAGCTATTGTGATTCCAGTATTTCAGAGCCCAGAGGGCCCAGAGAGCGGGAGCAAGCAGGCTGAGATCACACAGCCAGGATGGCAAATGAGGCTTCTGGCTGTTCTCCAGGTCACAGAGGGTTAACACTACAGGGAGGATCTGCTCTCCCAGGAAGAAGAGATGAGGCAACCAGGAGACCTTGGGCCATGAGGAGTCCGGTGGGCAGGGAAGGGGGGCAAGGATAGACAGTAGTGGACGACCAGCAGTCTCTGCCACAGCTCAGCCATTCCCCCTCATCCATGGCAGGCAGACTGACCCTGGCCTGCTTCTGAAGTTCTTCTGGGACCTGCTCTTTATCAACTCTACCTCAATGCACCAACCGAGAGGCTGTTACCACATAGTACCACATGGCATCTGAGCCTCAAGGGGTCACAGACTCTGCAGCCTCTCCCATCTCTAGGCACCATCTCAGAAAGTGAAGTACAAACAGGGAGGCAGGAAACCCAGACTGACACGCCAGCCTCTCTCCCCAAGCATGACCACTTCTGGTCACATTTGAGCTGGACAAGAGACCCTGTGTGATGTTAGGGACAGGCTGGGCTTCCCAGCTGTCTGATGTCTACCTGTTCGTCCCTGTCCCTGCCAATCTCACCCTTGCATCCTTTACCCTGGCACATATGTTCCAGTGTCAGGCATTTCTTAGAGGTCCCTCAAGCTGTGAGCTCAGGGCCTTTGCATATGCCTTTCTTTCACGACCCAGCCTTGGCCATATGGAGTCCCCAGGAGCCCTGCACCAGTTACTTATGCCCATTTGGACACTCCTTGTCCATTTTCCCAGCCCACCCTCTGAGGAAAGGGCCTATACCTCTGCACCCCCACTACCAACAGTGGGCACTGGGATTCAGTAACCACAGAACCATTGCAACAAAAGTTGGGCGTGGCAGGAACTACATCCCAGGTGCACAGAGCAAGAGAGGCAGGGCTGGGGCTGCAGAGATGGCTCAGTGGTTAAGCGCACTAACTTCTCTTGCAGAGGACGGAGGTTCAGTTCCCAGCACCCACGTGGCGGCTCACAACTATAACAGGGGATTCAATGACCCCTTGTTGCCTTCACAGGCACCAGGCATGCCCATGGCACCCAAACACAGATGCAGTCAGAGTTCAGGCCATCTGGAGCCACCCACCTCCTCCTGCTGGGCCAGGCATCCGCTTGCCTCCTGGCCTTCCTGATGGCTGTGTGCCAGTGAGGGCCCACACCCCACTATCCAGGCTGAGCTGGCTATGGCCCTGCCCTTCAGCCACTGTGACTAAGCCTGGGCCACAGAGCCCTTAGGGCTGGACTAGGCTGGAGGCTTACATTGGCCATGCGGCCTACAGGGTCTTTGTCAGAAGTGGGAGCCTCTGGAAGAAGAAATATTGGAGCTAGGTTAATCAGAGAGCAGGCTGAACCCAACAGCATGAGCACACAAAGGGCAAGAACGGCCAATGCCATCAACAGAGGCCCAGCTAGAGGAGCCACACCCCAGTCAAGCAGTCTGCCATAGTCCTGGTCATCGAGGCACTGCCAGGGCAGACAAACAGATCAGTGGAATGGAACAGAGCAGAACCGAGCCTACGCAGTCCACAGGTGTAAGGACACTTGACTTATGGCTTGCTCTCCATGTGGAAGAACAGTGATCTTGACCTTGCCTCACACTACACACAGAACCAATCCCAAGAAAACTGCAGTGGAACTCCAGCCACGGGCTGCCTGCAACCAGCGTAACATGTAGCTAAGAACTGGCTCAGCAGTTAAGGGCACTGGGTGCTCTTGCAGAGGACCCAGGTTCAATTCCTGACACCTACAAGATGGCTCACAAGCATCCATAAGCCCAGTTCCAGGACATACAATTCCTTCTTCCAGGCTCCTCAGGCACTAGGCACATGTGTATGTGTGTGTGTGGTACACAGACTCATGCAGACAAAATACCCATAAAATAAAATGACAATAATAAAATCCAACAACAAAAACAAATGAAAAAACCAGCACAATATAAAAGAGCAACTGCAAATAGAAGGAAAAGTGCTCGACTTCACCGATCAGCAAGGAGGTGCAAATTAAAACCATAGTGAGACACCAGCCCATCCTACCAGCAGGGCTGGAGAGCGAAGCACCATGACATGCTAGCTCACACATGTCCCCAGCACAGGCTGGGTGCGAGGTTGGGTAGTAGAGTGATGGGCTAGCACACATCAAGCCCTGGGTTCCATCCTCAAAACCAAACCAGTGAAAACCACAAGTGCAGTGCTGACAGCCGGCAGGGGTGGACATCTGCACAGTTGCACAGTGATGCCTCAAAGCTGCTAGAGTCCCTGCTAAGTACGAGCAACACACACTCCGAGTCACAGCCACTGTATCCCACAGAGTCAGTGAACACAAGAACGTTTAGCACAGATTTCTTTTTTAAAGCTTTCGTTTAAAGGCCTTGATCTCCTGATCCTCCCCCTTCTACTGCCCAAGTGTGGGAATCCCGGACATGTCAAGTCAAGATGATATGTTGAAAATTAGAAACTACTCAAGGACCATCAGTAAAGGACTGCTTGGGGGGGGGTTGTTGTACACAGCCGGCAGATGGAGCTCACAGGGATGGCATTAGACAACAGAGGCTTTACTACATGATTTCATTAGAACAAATTGAAAAGCAGGGCCAGATCACCCTGATACCAAAGCCAAAAAGGAAAGTTACAGGGGAGCTGGAGAGGAGGCTCAGAGATTAAGGGCACCTTCTGCACTCTCAGATTACCTGAGTTCTGTTCCCAGCACCCACATGGAAGTTCATACCACCTACAATTTCAGCTGGGGGGGGGGCGGGGCGCTAATGCCCTCTACTGGCCCCTTCATGCATTGAACTCAGGTGCACATACTCACACACATACACACACATAAAATGAAAAAAAGTTATAGGCCAAAGGTTCCCAAGGAACATAGACACAGAAAACCTGGAGTTCTGCTGGGTGGTGGTAGTAATGCACACTTTTAATCCCAGCAGGCAGATTTCTGTGAGTTTAAGGCTAGCCTGGACTACAGAGTGAGTTCTAAGACAGCCAAGGCTATACAGAAAAACCATATCTTGACCCCCACCCACCCCAAAAAAAAAAAAAAGAATGGAGGGAGGGAGGGAGGGAAAGAGGGAGGAAAGAAGGAAGGACGGAAGGAAACCTGGAATCCAGGAGTACAGTGTTACTGTGTGAATTTAGATGCTACAGAAAAGCCTCAGCAAAGGACTAGGAACAGAACTCTCCAGCTCCTGAGAAGGACAATATGATCCAGTGACCGGGAAAAAGGACAGCTCAGCAGTGACAGCGGGAGCTGGGTATG